GGAGGTTCCTCATTCAGAGAGGCAATCAGGATAGACATCAGAAGAGAGAGAAAACTGGGAACAGGACAGGAACCTACCACAGAGGGCCTCTGAAAAACTCTACACAGAAAGGTATTAAAGCAGATGCTGAGACTAATAACCAAACTTTGGGCAGATTACAGGGAATCTTATGAAAGAAGGAGAGAAACCTGGAGGGCACAGGAGCTCTACAAGGAGAGCAACAGAACCAAAATACCTGGGCCTAGGAGTCTTTCCTGAGATACTCTAACCAAGGACCATGCACAGAGATAACCTAGAACCCCTGCACAGATGTAGCCCATGGCAGCTCAGTGTCCAAATGAGTTTCCTAGTAAGGGGGACTGGGACTGTCTCTGACATGAACTCAGTGGCTAGCTCTTTGATCACCTCCTCCTGAGGGGGGTAGCGTTACCAGGCCACAGAAGACAATGCAGCCAGTCCTGATGAGACCTGATAGGCTAGAGTTAGATGGAAGGGGAGGAGGACCTTCCCTATCAGTGGACTAGGGGAGGGGCATGGGAGGAGAAGAGGAAGGGAGGATAGGATTTGGAAGGGATGAAGGAGGGGCTTACAGATGGGATACAAAGTGAATAAATTGTAATAAATAAAAAAGAAAAAAAAAACAGACACCAAAAGTTCACTATAGCATCTGAGACCCCATTTATGAAACACACAGAATCAGTAAATCCAAAGAGACATAGGGCAGCCTGGTGGTTTTCAGAGAGCTGGAGGAGGAGCAATGTATGATAAGTGCTTGATGTGAAGGGTCTTCTTTCAGAGAGGATGACAAGATTTGTGTGTTGGAAAGAGACCAGTTATGACTATAGAATGTTCAATGTTTGTTGACTATGTTGAATAAACTTGTCTTGGTAAAAATAAAAAAAAAAAAAAAAGAGTAAATTAATTAAACTGAATTAGCTCAGAATTAACTTTATGTTGTATGTTTGAAAATTTAATTTTCTATTTTAACTGATAAATCATAAGAAATTTATAACATAGAGCTAGAAGAAATGTTTTGATAATCTGTTAATCATCAGTGATGCATACTTCATCCTGCTTGGACAACTGCCTCTATTGGCTGAGATCCCTGAAAAACTGAGGTTAAAATGCTGGTACTTATTGGAGTTGATAGAGAAAGGCACAAGTTTACCCCAGTCTTTTCCAGTCTAAGACAATGTAGCCTGAAGGCACTGTGTGTTCTTGGACCTCCCACCCAATGAAAAAGAAAGCAGAAGAGAGGAGAGAGCTTGAAAATAGGTTCTGCCTATTGATAATGCTGGCTGATATTTTCCCACTCTTATTAATACCTGTTTTTCTTGAGTCATTTTATCTAGGAACATTGGCAGTATTGGATTGTTACATAATCACATTGGCAGTGCTGGTGCCAACACTGCCATCTTTCCAAAGCCAGGCACATTACAGAACATTTTGCACCAAATGAAGCTTAGAGGAAGAAAAAAGAGAAAGGGATGATGACAAGAATTATTGGTAACATTTATTTCAAGAGGGATATAATTAGATATTTGAAGACCTTAAGCAGCTGCTGATGAGACAGAACAAAAATCTGAAATGAAATAATACTTTGCAATATAGTGATAAAATCCATGAAAACCCATATTCCACTTTGGGCACTACAACTATAAATGGTTTTCTATTAAGTTGCAAAATAACTCAGGCTATTTATAAGTAGTCATTGGACACCTATGCACCAACCATTGTCTAGGCACCAACCACTGCACCAGGGAAGGGCTAGTATTGGTCTCATGTCAAGGGAATTTTATGAATACAAGTATAATATCATCATCATCATCAACTATAGTTCAAATTGTGTTCAAAATATGTTGCCTGGGAGGGTGAATGGACTTTGAGGACTGTCTAATGTCCTCGTCAGGACATTAACAACAAAACGGGGGAGACAGAGGGCCGGGCTAACAGAAGGCATGGAAAGCTATGAGGGAACCATGCAGAGGAGTGGGCCTGGGTGTTTGGCAGACCTGAGACTGCTCTAGGCAAACCGTCAGAGGTAAGAAGTCCTTATGTACGGAGTCTTGCTTTTCCACATGCACACACTTTGCCTGATCAAAGGTGGGTCTCCAAAAGCCTGGTCTCTGTGGAATCTTTAAAAATTGTAAAAATACTACTATTTATGGAGGAGAGGGCATGCACATACCATGGTGCATGTGTGGAGGTCATGGGGCAGCTTGTGGAAATGGATCTCTCCTTCTACTATGTGGCCTTCAGGGGTCTAGTCCAAGCCATCAGCCTTGGCCACAGGTACCTTTACCTGCTGAGCTAGCTGCTGGCCTCTGAGGAGTCTTCATACTCTACCGACCTTGAAGATATAGAGATGGGCTACTTCTGACCACCTGTGGAAGGTTGAGACTGGGGCTGAGCTTTCCTGAAAGTGCTAAGACGGCTGGGAGTGATCTCTGCGTGTTCTAGTGGTAACTGGATCTTAGCATGACAAGTAAAGTCTGAACGTGTGTGTGACATAAAGGACCTGTGGCAATGTCTGAGAATTGGCAGGACATGCTTGTGCAAGAACAGAGAAAGGAGGGAGAAAGAAAATTTGGGAAAGGGGCAAGCAAGTGGGGTAGCAGGGGACATGTGGAAATGGGTGAGGGAAAATAGCAAAGATACACTTGCCTGTCTTTTCACTGTCTGGGGGACAGACACTGCCCAAGTGTCTCTGGAAGTCATGATGCTAACCTTAACCCTGGCTGATTCTTATCTCTGAAGCACCCAGAAATAAAACAGAAAGTATTAAAGGCCAGTGCAATGTGAAAGGTGGAATCATGAATCCCAGGAACCAGAGCACAGTTACAACGGATCTAGTGTTACCATCAGGATTCTGACCCCCAAAATCTCAGAAACGAAACTTGCTGGAGGATTAGTGCTGTGACCATGAAGACAGGGAATTCTGAGAACGTTGCTGGTAGTTTGCACTCAGGGACCATCCATCTAAATCCAATGTGTACTTTTCCCTTGACAATAAGAATCATGCTCACTGTTGAATACACGGAACACACTGAGTTGACAGATGTATGTCTGCACATCCCAATAGTCCCAGAACCCAGAAAAATCAAGGCTCTTTATAAGAGTCATCCTGACAGTCTGGCATTCTGCCTTCTTGAATGGACACTGAGCTCTTGTAATGAAGTCCTTAAGATCAAGCTTCAGGTCAATGAGCCTACAGTAGTTTACAGAACATAAGTTTTGCACACTACAGTTGACTTAAGCAGGCCGTGAAACAATCGAGTCATGAGGCCATATGAAGTCAGCCTATTCCCCATTAAGGCCACCTTTGTTCTGCACTCTGGCATGTGTGACCAATCGGTAGCCACGTACAGAGTCAGCTAGAAAGCCGGAATATTCTGTCTGAGGCACTGCGCCTGCTGGGATACTTCCCAGTTGTGTTAGAGGACCTAGCTGGTCTTTTATTTTAAGAGGAAACCATTTAAGAGCAGATACACAAAAACAAATATTGCATGATATTATCTATGTTTGATACAAAAATCATGGAAGCAGAGTAAAACAGTATTTAGTGGAGGCTGGGGAGGGAACAAGGGAAGTGAGGAGAAAATGGCCAGAAGATACAAAGCTATTTTAGATAGGAGTAAGTTCTGATGTTCCACCCTGCAGGAGGGTGATAATATTGATTATACATTTCAAAATCACCAGAAGGCTGAATGATCTCACCACAAAGGAAAGCTAGATGTGGGATGTAATACATATATGATGCATTCTTATTTGACTGCCACACACTATTCACATGTATGGATATATCACAGTGTATCCCATAGATACATGCTATTATCACATGTCAATAAAAATAAAATGAGAACTTATAGCAGGGTGTATTAATAAACATCTAAAAACCCAACTCAGAAGGCTGGGCAGAATGATTATCATTAATTCCAGATTGCCTGGGTTATATTGCAAGACTCAGCCTCAACCAAACACAATGCAAATAGTAAAATCAAAGAATAAAACTTATGGTGATTTATTGCAATTAAGACCTTACTATGGCAGTGAGCCTAGGTGACACACCAGGTATGGTGGAGCTCAAGCTGTGTCCTGACCAGGTAGGAAGGTGATGGCAGAAAGGCAAACTTTCAGAGGAAACGAGCTTCCTGCCCTGTGAACTGGATATGGAAGGCATGAAGGCTTCTACCTCTCCTATCTTCCCACTTCAGTCTGTTTTCAGGAGCCATCCTCCAGCTCTCTCCGCGAGAGAGTCACACACCTCTACATAGTGAGCCAATGCATGAGCTTGGACTGCCAGCAAAAGCCTTGGCACAAACCTGTACTTAGGGTGAGACTGGCATTTACCTCTCCTCTAGGATGGGTCCCTACAGCAGCTGCAAAAGCTCTAATTAAGCCCTAATTAATTGTAGCTTACCTCTCCACCCACAGAGCCTTATTCTTTTGAAAAAAAAAAAAAAAAGAGCCATGAGCTGCTCTCATGATTGATATTTTCAATAAAAATCATTACAACTTGAAGAATTGCTCTTAAAGGTTAGTTTACACCTATGCTATGGTTTCTTTGTTTTTGTTTTTGAGATAATATTTTATGATGTGGCCCAAGCTAGCCTGGAACTCATTCTATAGCCCAGGTTGGTCTCCAACTCTTCATCTTCTTGCCTCAGCCTCCTGAACTCAAGGATAACAGACATGCACAAGCCCCTCTTGTTTGTCCCATGGTTTTAAATACATTACACTGATCCTTAAGTGATTAATATTCACACAACATTTTTATGCTAAGCAAAACAAGAAGAACATATGTAACACTAATTGTTATTGTGGATTAAGCAGTACAGCCATCCACTTTACCACTGCAAACACAACCAGCATTACGAAAAAACACTTTGGGAAAAATGAATCATCCTACAGTGTATTCATTTATTGCATGAAAGACAACATAATTGCAATATGGGATCTGTATTGAGCTAAAGATAGAAATAGAAGATTTCTAAACGTACCTGGACTAATTCTGCCTTTAACTCCTCCTTCTCCTCCTCAGAGAGCATGCTAGAGAAGTCAGCACTGGCTATTGCATCCTCATCTCTTCCTTGCAGTGGTTCCGACTCCAATAAGCCTTCAGGCAAAAGTGACAAGACATAAAGGGAGGGTTATTCGTGTAACCATCTTCCATTGCTGCAACCCGAAAAACTCCACAGACTGATTTACCCTCACACCGAAAACCAACCGAAAATGTGCCAAAAGAAAAACAAGAACAAGCTCATTTCAAATGTGTGATGAGCTCTAAGGAAGCAAATATTGAGAAGCCTAAAACAAAAGGAACAACAGAAAAAAAAAAAAAAAAACTGAGTGCAAAGGGAAAGCCAGAATGTAAACAAGGGCTGGAGAGATGGCCCAGAGAGGACCTGAGTTCAGTCCCCATGTCGAGTAGTACACAGCTACCTGTAGCTTTAGCTCCAAGGGATCCCACACCCTCTTGTGGACTCCAAGGGTACCTGTGCTGGCATATACACATACCTCCCAACACATACTTACAGAACTTTGAAAATGAAATGCATGATTTAAAAACCATAAACAAAGTAAGCTGTCACAGAATTAACCTGTGTCATACAGGTTCACCTTTCACTGTCTCATGGGTTCAGGGGCCAGAGAATGAAGCCCACCCAGGGAAAGAAGCATGAGTGAGGCTTCAGATAAGCTTTCCTTCCCTGCAGGTGTCTGCAAGGCAATCTGCCTGTTGCTGAAACTCAGAGCTGAACGATGGACAAAGATAGATAGATGATAGATAGATAGATAGATAGATAGATAGATAGATAGATAGATAGATAGATACTCTTTCCCTGAGAACTGATTACCCTTTAGTGGGGTGCATGTGACCCAACTACTTACATCCACTTTGCCTGCAAACAACCTGAGCCCAGAAAACTATTTTTGATGTGGTAACATGCAGAGGCTGGAACAGCACACTTCAAGGAAACACAGGAACAAAGGGTTCCCCAGAGAGGAAAGGCGGGAAGCCCTTGGGGTTCTGATGCTATCTTTGTACCATAGTTTGTAGCACAGTTTGAATAACCCCATGATAACTCAATTTTTAACTCTTCATGTGATAAAGATGCTTTTGTAGTTAAGCTATCCAATCCCTGGGAGAGCCCCAGGGCCATCTGGCTGACCCTCTCCCTGCCCTGTGATGCCTGAAGAAACCAAAGCATATCTGCAAATATGTTCAGAAACTATTTATTTATGAAATGGCATATGAGCTGTCATTTATACACTTGAAGTAAAAGGAAGGTCTTTTAATAACCATTGTGTAACAATATTATCCATGTTGAAATAATAGTGTACATATTCATACACAACTCATGGGACAAAACTGAACGTCCTAGATGACAATCAGTTCACCTTTGGGAAGGAAGACATTAACCCAACAAGAAAGAAACAGCAAAACGTAAGGAAGTTTAAGGAATGTCTCTCCCTTAAACGTTACCAAAGACAAACAGACAAGACACACATTGGAACATATCTGCTACAAAAATGAAAGATCAGTTCCTAGAATATTTAGAATTTCTAGAAATCATTTTTTTAGATGGGGCCCAGCAATATTTTCTCTCCTTCATGTGTTCCGTTTAAAGTTCTCCAGTCTCATCCTGAGCCCTGTAGCAAAGTCCCTTTTTTACTTCAATCTCTGGGGACTCTACTAATCCCATGGCAGACCCAGGTTACCTCATTCCTGTGGACCTTTTCACACACAACCTTCTAGCTCGGTTCCATTCTGTTATACAAGGTCCTAATACTTAGAAACACATTCTGTCTGGGACCCCCAGGGTCCCAGCGGAGTCTCAGCAGCACTCCAGATAAACCACAGCCAATAAAAGTTACTAAGATCCTCAAAGGGCAACAGAAACCACAGATCAAATACTCACCTAACACAGACAAGATCATGTACCAACACAGAAGCACAAGCATCTTCAAACCCAGAGACCTAGACACCCATACAAAAATACCATCATTTATACCCAAAACAGTATGTCTCCACCAAAACCCAGCAACCCCATTACAGTAGACCATGAAAAATGCAATATAGCTGAAACAAGAGGACTTCAAAATAGCTGTTAAAAATGGGCTCAAAGAGCTGAAAGAAGATATGAATAATCCTTTAATGAAGTCTGTAAAAACATGACCAGTGGGATAAAATGATGAGAAAGTTCAAGATGTTAAAGAAGACATAGAATCACACACTTGAAAAAAAAAAAAACATGAGGTAAAATTAGAAATGAAAACTTGGAAAAGTCAAACAAAAAACTCAGAGTTAAGACTCACCAAAAGAATATAAGAGGAGGAAGAAAGAATCTCAGGCATTGATGATACAATAGAAGAAATTAATACCTCAGTCAAAGAAAATGCTAAATCTCAAAAAGAAATCCAGGAAATATGGGACTCTATCAAAAGACAAATATCTATAAATAACCGGAATAAAAGAGACGAGGAAATTTAATTCAAAGGCACAGAAAATATTTCAACAAAATCTTAGAACTTTCCCTTAACTTTAAGAAAGAGATTCCTATCAAGGTACAAGAAGCATACATGAGAAGACCAAAAAGACTGCACCAGAAAAAAAATTCCCTTCAACACATAATAATCAAAGCACTAATGTAGAGAACAAATAATATTAAAAGCTGCAAGGGAATAAGACCAGTAAGTGAAGACCTCTGGCAATAACAATGGACTTCTCAAAGGACTCTAAAAGGCAGAAAGGCCTGGACAGATAGATTTTCTACAGATTGTAAGGGACCACCGGTGTCAGCCCAGACTTTCAAATACAATAGATAGAGAAAAGAAGACATTCCCTAATAAAAAAACAAATTTAAGCAATATGTATCTACAAATCCAACTCTCCAGGTGCTAAAAGGAAAACTTCAACCTCAATTGGTTAATCACATCCAAGAAAACATGAATAAATAATCCTAAGAGCACCAAATCAAAACCTGTACCATAACAACAAAACAATAGAAATCAATAAACACTCCTCAACATTAATTGTCTCAATTCCTTATTAAAAATACACAGACTAGCAGCTTGGATTTGAAAATAGGATCTGTCCTTCTGCTGCATCCAAGAAACAAACCTTAACATCAAGGATAGACATCACCTTAGGGTAAAAAGAGTTGAAAAAATATATTCCAAGCAAATGAACCTAAGAATCAAATTGGTGTAGTCATTTTAATGTCTGACAAAATAAATTTCAAACCAAAACTAATAAAAAGAGATAGCAAAGGAGCTATATTCATCAAACAAACAAACAAAAAAATCCACCAAGAGGACACTGCAATTCTTAACGCCTATAACGAAAACATAAGGGCACCCAGGTTTGCAAAAGAAACATTCCAACAGCTTAAATCACATATTGACCTCATACACTGATAGTGGGAGAACACAATACCCCATTCTCACTAATAGATGGGCCGTCCAGACTGAAACTAAACAGAGAAGTGCTGGAACTAACTGACGTTAGATACCAAATGGACCTAACAGATTTTTACAAAACATTTCACCTAAATACAAAAGAATGTACCTTCTTCTCAGCACCTCATGGAGCCTTCTCTAAAACTAATCACCTACTTGGACACAACGAAGTTGTAAACAAATACAAGAAGTTTGAAATAACACCTTGCACGCTATCTCAGCCCCACAGGTGATGGCTGGATAGCAAGAGCAGAAGCAACAGTGAGCACAGAAACACACGGAAACTGAGCAACTCACTACTGAAGGAAAAATCGGTCAAGACAGAAATTAAGAAAAAAAATTAAACTGTTTAGAATTGAATAAAAGTAAAAACACAACATACCCAAACTTATGGGACACAATGAAAGCAGTTCTAAAACATTAAAAAAAAAATCAAAGAAAATATCAGACGATGGAAAGATCTTGATCGTGCTCGTGGATCAGTAATATTAACGTAATAAAAATGCCCATCTTACCAAAAGCAGTCTACACATTTAACACAATCCCCATCCAAATTCCAACACAAATCTTTACAGAAATTGAAAGGATATTTTTCAGCTTCATATGGACACACACACACAAAACAAAACAAAAAAACAGGATGGCTTAAAGAGAGAGAGAAAAAAATAAAGAAATGCTGGAACTATCACAATTCCTGATCTCAACCTGTACTACAGAGCTATAGTATTGGAATAAAAACAGACATATTGGTAGATAGAATAAAACTGAAGAGCCAGCCATAGTAAGTCCACACACCTATGAACATTTGATTTTTGATAAGGACGTCAGAAATATACACTGGAAAAAAGACAACATCTTCAGCAAACGGTACTGGCCAAACTGAATGGCTGCATCTGGAAGACTGCAAATAGATCTGTCTACCATGATGTTCAAAACTCAACTCCAAATAGATCAAAGCCTCAACATAAGGCCAGAAACACTGAATCTGATAAAAGAGAAAAGTGAGAAAAACACTTCCTGATCAGGATACCATTAGCTCAGGTGTTAAGACCAACAGAGCATCCAAGAAGTCCTAATGAGACTTAACAATCTATGGGCAGATGGCAGTGGTGAAGCCTTCAGAGGACTAGGGGAAGGAGTTGGGGGAGAGAGGGAGGGAGGGTGGGACTGGGGAGAGTTGATGGAGGGAACTTCAGTGGGGATATATAATGAATAAATTGTGAAAAAAAATGAAAATAAAAAATGTTTCTGAATGGCAAAAAATACCATCGTCTGTAGAAAGCGACAGAATGGGAAACTACATTTACCAACTATAAATCTGATAGGGTGCTGATATTCAAAATATATAAAGAACTAAAAAACAAAAACCTGGTCATCAAGAAAGCAAACAACCTATTTAAAACATGAGTACAGATCTGAAGAGTGAGTTCTCAAAAGATGAAACACGAATGGCTGACAAAAACATAAAGAAATGTTCAATATCCTTAGTCATCAGGGAAACACAAATCGAAATTACTCTGAGATTTCATCTTACACCAGCTCCAGTGGCCAAGATCAATACAATAAAGAACAGCTCATGCCGAAGAAGTTAAGGTATGGGGAGAACACCCATCCATTGCTGGCAAGACTGCAATCTTGAAATTAAAAACAAAAACG